TATCCTCACCTCTTAAACTTCTACCCATAATCAATTCCTACAAAATCTGATCCCCTCTCTATCTCTCTCTCTCGAAAATCACAATTATCTCTCAAAATCTCTACCCAAATCTTGAAAATCATCTCTCATAATCTACACCCCAAATTTTACCTCTCTCAAATCTCCAAGAATAATCAGAGGTGTCCTTTCATCACTCTATACACCTCACGTATATAGGGTACCTAAGAGACTGTGAGCATTTAATGTTCTTGTCTGCTAATGATAACCCATTTTTCTCTTTCCTAGTGACACCTTAACCAAAAGAAACATCCACCCCTAAATATGTTTGGTCATCACACCTATTCTAAGGGTTTCAATTGAGAATTCTTCTAAGAAACGTATCTCAACTTAAATCCTTCTTAAACCATTAGAAACCCTTCGCATTCCTCTCAGACGAAAAATCTCAGCTCAACGAAATCAAGAATCCATCTCTTTTAATCTCTCAATCTTACCGGCGATCAACATGTCTGGAACCAAGGCTATGCAACCCAAAGATCTACTTGTTCTAGGACAACAATTGATCGATGGAATGGTACTTAATCCCGAGTATTTCAAGATTAGAGTAGTCACAAGGAGACGACAACAAAAATTCTCAATGCTTTGAAAGATTGTGGACTATTTGATTTCTTCACATATACATATCTTGGAGCATTTGAAGTAGATGTGACCGAGTTTTATCTTTATGCCATCATGAAGATAATGTGACTCACTCTAAGGTTGGAAGAACGGATGTTCAAATTTCTGAAAAAGATATCAAGGAGTGCTTCAAATTTCTCAATTCTGATTTGATGCCCGAAGCACACCACTATAATGTTCAATCCTTCTGGGATGAAATACGTCTTCCAACTACATCAGAAGTTCCAAATCTATCCAAACACAATAACGTGTTGAAACTTGAGTATGGGATGCTTATTGAGATGATGTACAAAATCCTTAACAACAAGCTTGAAAGTGTGGATAATTCATCCGCATCATCCGTAGGTCTGATGAACGGGATTATGCAAGGAATAAAATTCAACTGGGCTAAGTACATCTTCAATCGACTGTTGGTCTTTGTGTACGGTGCAAAACCTCAGGGAAGACCACTTGAAGGAGAACACTTTCTTCAAAAAGTTGGGTATGGTCTCATCATTGGAGAAATTCTAAGAAAAAAATATGTGCCTCTTAGAAGACATAAAAGTGTTGGAATTTACAGAACACTTTTCAGAAAGTATGGACCCAACTATGGAAAGAAATCAAACCGAAGGAAAGGATCTGAAGGAGGTGGTTCCACTAGCACACCACAAAGCTCCCGGAGAAGGAACAGCAGGACTATCTCTGCAGCAAGTCAACACATGGGTTCTAGCCATCCATGTAATAAAGATCAGGAAGCCATAAGCTCAGCTATGACACTTGTTCCATTCCAAGAAGTGTTGGAGTCTGAAGCTCAAGAAGTTAACAGACCCGTTATACCAGCCGAAGGAGACACAACATGAATGGAGCTTACAGGAGTAGAAGTGCAAGACTTGCAAAGGAGAATTTCTAATCAATGTGCAGCTGAAGTAAGTACTGAACCCGTAATATTTGACTCAGCACAAATTCAAGATGATCCTGAATTGATGGAAGAACTAAACCAAGTGCAAGCATGCACTACAAGAAATATGCACATAGACAACACTAGAAAGACAACAATTCTTAACAAAAGTGTTACAGTTTGGTGTAAAACCGTTGTCTTTGACGCAACACTTTTTTCTAAGACAACGATTCTTACTTAACCGTTGTTATAAGTGTGTTGTCTTTGTGCAATTTGAGAAAAGACAACACTACAACGACAACGTTTTTAATATATTTTACGTGAGATTTGAATCAAAGTATGAAGAATCTAGGATGCGTCCTTCTGGCAAGTCTACGCAAAGTTTTCCGAGAAACCCTAGTTTGACTACGGTCTCTTAATCGAACAACGCCCGAGACTACCGATGTTCCCCTTGCCTATCAACGCATCGGAGTTACTGTTCCCGAGTCGTCATCGATCTCAATTAATCTCCCGGCTTCTGAGACGTGGTTGACTTTTCAACCGCCGATCTGGTTGGATTTTACGATAACGACAAAGAAGTTCTCTACCTATATCGTAAACGACATACCCCACTTTTGTCGTTACTTGCGTGGATTTTTCGGTAGCGATAAAGTTCCCGGTTTGCGTTCTCGCTAGACGATCTGGTCAACGATAGCTCCAGGGACTTCTAGCACTGAGAACTGACGATCTATCACTGAAGTTATGTTCGTTTATACCCGGTAGGGGTGGGAATAGGCTAGGCCCCTACCTAGGAGCCTATGGCCTGGCCTACGAGCCTGCAGGCCTGGCCTGTTTATATATATAATATATAAAAAATATATATATTTAATATTTAATTATTTTATATTATATTTTATAACTAATATCTTGTAATAATTATATATATATAGGGATGCACTCAGGTGCGAATAAGTGCTCAGGAGGGAAATGCGAACGAATCAGCGCGCGACACGTGTCCAGATCTAATAACTTAAAAAAATACAGTGGTATTTTCGTAAATAATTGAACATCGAAGTGAAGGTAAAATCACTTACAAGTGCACCTACTTTCACCTATAAGTGCATGTAATTTTGCCTTATTAGCATTCACTTTCCACAAACATTCATGCACCTGGGTGTGCTTATAACTTTATGTGCAGCTATTTATAACTATAGGTGCAACTACTTATAACTATAGGTGCACCTACTTTCACCTATAAGTGCATGTAATTTTGCCTTGTTAGCATTCACTTTCCGCAAACATTCATGCACCTGGGTGTGCTTATAACTATATGTGCAACTATTTATAACTATAGGTGCAACTACTTATAACTATATGTGCAACTATTTATAACTATAGGTGCAACTACTTATAACTATAGGTGCACCTACTTTCACCTATAAGTGCATGTAATTTTGCCTTGTTAACATTCATTGATCTGAGTTCAGCGGGTAGTAATACCCCTGAAAACCACTCGCAAACATTCATACACCTAGGTGCAACTACTTATAACTATGTGTGCAACTACTTAGAACTATAGGAGCAACTACTTAGAACTATAGGTGCAACTAAGTATTGATGCTCAGTGTAAATTTTTACTTGCACCTATAATACATTTTATATGCACTTGTAATACATTTTACTTGCACATCGATGTTCAATTATTTACGAAAATGCCTTAACATATCAGTGTTTCTCATCCATTAGATCTAGACACGTGGACGAACAGAATTCATTCCTATTTCGCTCTTGGGCGTAGCATTCGCACCTGAGTGTGATTATATATATATATATATATATATATATATATATATATATATATATATATATATATATATATATATATATATATATATTTCTATGTATATATATATATTTCTGTGTGTGTGTGTGTGTGTGTGAGAGAGAGATAAGTCACCTGATAAGTGAAAACCCTAGGACTGCCTTTGTCGTACTTATTAAACTTGTGTTGTTTGACATTTTATTATAAAATATGAACTTGGTTTTGCCATTTATGATTATTGGTTTATTCACTGGATTGTAATTTAATAATATGATTATTTTTTATAGGTACATTCGTATATATAATCTATTAAAAAGCTTTAAAATGTAGGCTTTAAATAAACTTTGAGCCTATTTAAATAGGCTCAAAGCCTATTTAAATAGGCTCAAAGCCTATTTAGAACCTATTTAGTAAATAGGCTTCAGGCCAGGCCTACTGCAGGCTCAAGCTTGAGCCTAAAAAAAAAAACCTACATACAGGCCTAGGCCCAGGCTTTAGGCCCAGGTATGCCTCTCTACATCGCCGGCTGTCTGTGAACACCGGTTTCTTGTTGCCAGCTAATTTGCCTGTGAGAACCGGCGTAAAAGGGTGACTGGATAATCCGCCTGTGAGAACCGGTTTTGTGTTATTTTAGTAGGTTTAAGCTCATCTCCGAAAGATGGCGAGCACAAGTAACATGTCCAGTGCTCCCGGTGGCCCCGTAACTATTGTGGAACCATCAGTTTCCCGATCCTTAGGGTCAACGAATACGTTCTCTGATGAGGAAAAAAGTCGACAAGGGTATGGGGTGAGAAGGAACACGGGAAAGCAACTATGGGTTGAGAAGGGGAAGTCGCCAAACTCGAAAATCTCGTTCAGAAACAACAGAGAGCTAGAGGGTGATGACTGCCTACTCTCAGACTCCATGTTGGAAAGAGGTCACGTGAAGCTGGCTATGGAGGACTGGGTCGAGCCAGAGGTCAACAGAAAATTTGCGTTAATGAGCCATTTCGCAAGGAGATTTCCAAGAATAAGGGCTATAGATGAACGGGCTAAATCGTGGAATGTATGGTATCATCTTGATGAACACTTGAATGGCTATGTCTGGGTTGAGAAGGGGAAGTCGCCAAAAAAACATAAACTGATAATCTTTGTTTCCAAATGAAGTCCCAAACTTCCTTCATTTTGAGGGGTTGATTCAAACCCCTCACGTTCCAGCAGCGAAGTAACATTGAGCACCCAAGGTGAGTCTTCGCCTACCACCGCCGCCAGTCACTTTATTCACCCCACCCCAAGTGACAGGGAGATCCAAGCTACATTCTTTTACTTTTTCGATCTTGGAGACCTCTTTCTGACCCCAGCTACAACCTGAGAGGGTTCCTTTGTTAGAGTGACGTACGACAAAGGCAACTCAGATCTCCCTCTCGGGTTGTAGCTGAGGTTAGAAAGATGTCGTGTAGATCAAGACATAGTAAGGATTGACAGACTAGGAGCTCTTTCGAGATTCTATGGGTGATCGTGCATGACCATTCTTAGTTGGTGGAGCAATTTGTCTAGTTAATTCCGTTAACGAACGAGACCTCAGCCTGCTAACTAGTTATGCAAAGGTATCCCTCCGCGACCAGCTTCTTAGGGCAACCAGACAAATCGCTCCACCAACTAAGAACGGTCATGCACCACCACCCATAGAATCTCGAAAGAGCTCTCAGTCTGTCAATCCTTACTATGTCTGGACCTACACGACCTCTTTCTAACCTCAGCTACAACCCGAGAGGGAGATCCGAGTTGCCTTTGTCGTACGTCACTCTAACAAAGGAACCCTCTCAGGTTGTAGCTGGGGTCAGAAGGAAGTCTCCAAGATCGAAAAAGAAAAAGAATGTAGCTCGGATCTCCCTGTCACTTGGGGTGGGGTGAATAAAGTGACTGGCGGCGGTGGTAGGCGAAGACCCACCTTGGGTGCTCAATGTTAGATGTTAGTTGGTTGCTGGAACGTGAGGGGTTTGAATCAACCCCTCAAAATGAAGGAAGTTTGGGACTTCATTTGGAAACAAAGATTATCAGTTTATGCTTTTCTGGCGACTTCCCCTTCTCAACCCAGACATAGCCATTCAAGTGTTCATCAAGATGATACCATACATTCCACGATTTAGCCCGTTCATCTATAGCCCTTATTCTTGGAAATCTCCTTGCGAAATGGCTCATTAACGCAAATTTTCTGTTGACCTCTGGCTCGACCCAGTCCTCCATAGCCAGCTTCACGTGACCTCTTTCCAACATGGAGTCTGAGAGTAGGCAGTCATCACCCTCTAGCTCTCTGTTGTTTCTGAACGAGATTTTCGAGTTTGGCGACTTCCCCTTCTCAACCCATAGTTGCTTTCCCGTGTTCCTTCTCACCCCATACCTTTGTCGACTTTCTTCCTCATCAGAGAACGTATCCGTTGACCCCAAGGATCGGGAAACTGATGGTTCCACAACAGTTACGAGGCCACCAGGAGCACTGGACATGTTACTTGTGCTCGCCATATCTCGGAGACGAGCAGAAACCTGCTAAAATAAGACAAAACCGGTTCCCACAGGCGGATTATCCGGTTACTCTTTTACACCAGTTCTCACAGGTAGATTAGCCAACGACAAGAAACCGGTGTTGACAGACAGTCGGCGATGGAGAGAGGCATACCTGGGTATAAACGAACGTAACTTCAGTGATAGATCGTCGGTTCTCAGCGCTAGAAGTCCCTGGAGCTATCGTTGACTAGATCGTCTAGCGAGAACGCAAGCCGGGAACGTTATCATTACAGGAAAATCCACGCAAGGAACGACAAAAGTTGCGGATGGATGCGGCACGTTGGTGTCTAACAGAGTGAAAGAAGAACTTGTGCACCCTTTTGAAAGTCTTTCTTTTCAATTACAGGTCCCATACGCTCGCTATACCTGCCATGTCCATGCACACTAGGATCCGAAAAGCTAGGAAGAAAAGAAAGGGACACACTACTAAGTAAGATGAGAAAGAAACTCTTACATGAATATTATCTTAATAAATAGTACTATTAACAGCTTAAACCTTTTTACAGTGACAAAGCAAGCATAGTTACACCAGGAACTTACTTGTCTACAAAACTGACATTTGTGTACATCAGATAGTTGTAAATGTAATCAAAATCACGCAATGGTATACAACTGCAATTCAAAAAAGAATGATATCAAGAAATGTGTCATTTTTCAGGCCTTATTGATTCAGACATGTGAACAGTATGGCATCATTGGTCACCTTTCAAAAAGTAGAACAAAGTGCAAATTTTCAAGATCTTTGAGTGCATTAGCCAAAAGCCATCTCTCAGCATCAACCATTGTAATTTTCCCCCAGGCTACCTGCAATAAAATCCTTAGAAGTTGAGGACGTAAAAAGTAGTAACGTGATTTCAGAATAGTTATGCATCGCAAGATTACAGGTAGGCTTGCACCAAGCCAAAACTTCAACTGTCACACCTCACAACTACATTTCTCTTGACCAAATCCACATTTACCATACATTAAGCAAAACAAATATATAAGCAAAACAAATATATAAGCAAAACAAAAACATTACCAAATGGCCCCTAAGCTTTTAAATAGAAAATAAAGAAACACCACTAGAAAATAAACAGAAGAAACATTGAGCTAAATCAATTGATGCAAACAAATTTTATTGCAAAAGAGCATAGGAATTCCAAGCTAAACAGTGGAACTGAGAAATTTCCCCAGATGGCATGCAAAACAATATATAGGTTTTTGGGTACAAGTACAAACCGCGTAACTACGGATCTCCCGAGGCTAAGACGCACTGGTCTGTCCTTGGACGCATGAATATAGATGGAGAATTTACCTTCATGGCCCTGCTAACATAAATTTAAATAAATAAGTAGATAGGAAGGAGAAAGAGTGAGGGGGATGTCAATATGAACTTACATACGCAAACAAAGTGCTGTGAGAACATGTTTGAGTTTTTCAAAATATGAATATCCATTCATAATTATCCAGGGTTAACAAAATATGCATGACAACTTGAGTTCATATGAATGAAAACAATATATGATCCAGCAACAGTATTTCACTCACTTAAAAAGTAGGTTCATTACCACAAAATAGGCCTTATAGGTAAGTATTTAATTTTCATTCACTTAGTTTTAGTCACTAAAATTGTTGATATAGATGGAGACATCAATGAGTGTTATAAACATAAGTGTTTTGCTATTGATACAGATCAACCGTCAATGTTTACACTAGCAAATAATTTGTTGAATTTGAGATCTTTTAACAACACACAAACACACTCATAAAGGAACATAAGTACACTTCAAAAGATCACTAAAACAAAAAATAAGAGGGAGAAGAAGATGCAATGAGCTAGATTTTACAACATAAATAGAAGACAAACCTGTAATATTCTATCCCATAGCTTCTCAAATGGTAAAGCACCTCAAAAATAGAGATGCAATTTTTGGGCTTTTTGGTTCAACTGCTGGTGTATTCATCAGAACATCTCTAACTACAACAAAAGATGCTATCTCTTGATCTGTTAATTCGCGAGCAGGAGCAGGGCTCCGCCAATCGAAATGTTTGTTGCAACCACCAGAGGAGAATAAAGAACAAACAGCAGAATTCTTAGAAGGGAATACATATGCACAAATCACAAAAAAAGCTAACCAACGAAACCAAAATGATGATCCACGTTGGTTTCTTTAATTGAGAGCGCTGACGAGATCCATGAAATATTGGCATATCTTTCATGCCTAAACGCCATGCCTGTTTTATCTTCATGTAGGATTGATGCATTAGAAAAACCCAAGGATGGCCTCTGGAAAATGCAAACTTTCTTTGCCAATAACAAGGTACAAACACTGAATTAATTTGTAGAGAGAATCTCAAAGCTGCAAAAGCATACCAAAATAAAGTGGTAAGTAATTGCCTTTTGACAAGGATGTGCTAAACTCAAATGTGACTGCAATCTACACTACTCAACACAGAATAAAGACTGCCTTAAGTACAACAACAACAATTTCTCAAACCAGGGAAAGAATGTAGGTTCATTTGTTGCGTCTACAGTCTACACATTAGACAACAAAGTACATTATATATACTTATATACAATACATCATTACATTAACAAATTGAAAGTTATTATTAAAATTGAAGCGAAATCAGCATTCAAGTTTGAAGTTTAAGTGCAAATCAGATTCAAATAGTGTTCCCATTTGCAACAAATTTAAACAGATTTGCATTTCACAACCCTTAACCCCAAACTCTAAAAATTCAATAGACATGAAAAAGGAGAGGAACTTTCAAGGTACATGGTAATCTTAAACTCCAAATCAACAAAAGAACAAATTCTAGGAGACAGTAAAAGAATGCCAAGAGGAGAAGATACGAAGAGGAACAAAACACATTGAAATGAAATCAATGTTTCAAATTCAAAGGTGTCCACATATCAGATTCAGTTTATTACCCTTCCCAGTGAATCCAAATAGAATTGTATGCCACAAAACTCCCAAAAATAATAGACATGAAAAAAACAAAAATGAAATAGGCAAATATAAATCCGAAAGTTGAGGGAATGTGGAAATCTCAGAACCTTTGGAGAACAAATTACGGTAAAGAGTTGTAGGAAACCAAAATGCAAAAAATCAAAGGGATAATAAATAAAATCATTCAGGGACAATTGAAACTCCAAAACAGCTTCAATCAAACACAGGCGAAAAGTCATTATCCTCGCATCAGAATCGCACTCCCCATATATACGCATAAAATCATCACATAAGCATTGGTTCGACTCGTATCACAAAATCAACACAAATCAGAGCAAAAACACATCGGAATTCCTTCAATGATCACATTTTTAGCCACATGAACGGAAAGAAACTAACCCAAAAAAGAAAAACAGGACGGCAAACCTGATTTCACCTCCAACAAGATATCCAAACAACACTCGATCAGCATTTGTGTATATACAGAATTAATTTCACTTTGGGTCCCACGACTTTAGAGGATCTATCACTTTTGGTGCACAACTTTAAAAGTTTTCAATTTTGGTGCCTAACTTTGTTGTTTTTATCAATTTTGGTCCTTTCAACCAAATTGACGACGAAATATTGCCGGATTTTATATTTTTAGGGGTAAAATCGCCATCCCAAGGAAACATCTTCAATATCTAAACAAAATCACTCTAAAATCATATCTATAGGTGTTTGATCGATGAGAATAATTGGGAAGACGGACAGAAACTAGACACATATCTATGAGATTTATAGCATCGATGATTGCCAAACTCTTATATTTCTCTTAACATGATTTTTCTTTTGTTTAGATATTGAATATCTTTCCTTGGGATGACGATTTTGCCCCTAAAATGTAAAATCCGGCAATATTTCGCAGCCAATTTGGTCGAAAGGACCAAAATTGATAAAAATAACAAAGTTAGACACCAAAACTGAAAAAATTTAAAGTTGTGCACCAAAAATGATAGAACCTCTAAAGTCGTGGGACCATTTGTTATTTGCATGTATCGGTGCATAAAAACAAATGAATCTACACCAGATGTATACTCTGTATTTTTTTTTTTTTTGGTGAAGAGATTTATACTCTGTATATACTCCGTACTATGTATGTCATTACGACTTTAATTAATTTTATTTTTCCTAATTTGGTAATTAAATAATTTGCTACCAAATATCGACACAATCAGCGGATCTCTCTCTCTCTCTCTCCCCCCCCCCCCCCCTCCTCCTTCCCCTCCTCTACACCAGATGTATACTCTGTATATACTCCGTACTATGTATGTGACTACGACTTTAATTAATTTTTTTTCCCTAATTTAGTATTTAAATAATTTGGGAATAAGGTTCAAATTGGCCACTGAACGTAACCTAAAAATGCAATTAAGCCACTGAACGAAAAAAAAGTGTAATTAGGCCACTGAACACTCCAAAAATGTGCAATTTCACCTGATAGCAGGTTACCCTCAATTTTAGCAGGTTATCTGCTTACGTGGCAGCTGAGTTGGCATTTTTAATAAATTTTAAATCATTTTTAATAAATTTTAATAATAAATTTTTATTTAAAAAATTTTTTAAAAAATAAAAACGACTTTATTTTATTTTTTATTTAATTTTTTTCAATTTTTTTATAAAATTTATTATTAAAATTAATTATTAAAAATTATTTAAAATTATTTAAAAATTATTAAAAATGCCAACTCAGCTGCCACGTAAGCAGGTAACCTGCTAAAATTGATAGTAACCTGCTATCCGGTGAAATTGCATACATTTGGAGAGTTCAGTGGCCTAATTGCACGTTTTTGGAGTGTTCAGTGACCTAATTGCACTTTTTGTTCGTTCAATGACCTAATTGCATTTTCAGGTTACGTTCAGTGGCCAATTTGAACCTTATTCCAATAATTTGCTACCAAATATCGACACAATCAGCGGATCTCTCTATCTCTCTCTCCCCCCTCCCCCCCCCCCCCCCCCCCCTCCTTCTTTTGCTTAATTCATCTTTTTAAAATATAATATTTTTTTTTTCATTTAGCAATTAAGAAATAGTTAAATTCTAAAAATTATATAACTAAATATTCGTTCAATCTCATTTTATGTGGTTAATTCGATTATTAAAATTTAATTTACTTTTACTTTAATTTTATATAATATTATATTTAGTATATATATATATATATATATATATATATATATATATATATATATATATATATATATATATATAATTTATATTTAGAAATTACACTAAAAAATAACATTAAACTCAAAAAATTAAATTAAAAAAATACAAAATAATATAAGCAAATAAAAAAGAACTAATTTAATTAATTAATAGTAAATTAGACAGACAAAATATGACAGAAGGTCAAGATGAGTAATAAAATTTTATTTTTATTATTATTATTACTAGTATTTTCGTCCGTGCGATTCACGGAATGGATTTGTTGTAATATATTAAGAATATTTGGATCGATATATAATTATTTAAATTAGAACATCAAATATTATATAGTGCAATTGAATATATGGATTGAATTATTTATGTGTTTTGATGTTATCATTGCTTGAATTTGAGTAAATAATTGCTCAAATTAATAGCTCATGTGTAGATGTACACATGCGGTGCTGTACCTTTGAATATTTTATTTATCATTGTTTAGTATTATTTTATAAATTAGACAAATGTGCTCGTTCTCTAGCAACTCAGTTATATGAATGAATTGCTATCTTAATTCATTTGTTTGAAAGATATATATTTTTTGTTTAAATATATAGCAATTTTGTTATTTAAAAAAACATAATATCAACGATTGTATTTATACATCATTGAAACCTCTTTGTAGATGACATTGGTAGTGGCAACACAATCTTGTTCATCATCGTCTAGAATGAACACCTTCAGTCAATTATGGATCATATTTTATTTCCAGTAAATTATTAATATTTATTTCCTTTTCCAATTGGCCCCTTGCACCCCGCCTTCCCGGGTCGGTTTGCACCGAGCCCGTTCCTAATATATCCATCATCAGTCCCTAACTCTCCGAGTTGCGAGTCGTAGTCAACGAAGGAGAGTAGCCCGAGTCGAAGGTCGACCCCAAGCCCACAGGAAGACGTCTACCCCGCCTCCTTCCTCTTTGGCCGACTTTGGTGTGATTCCATTGCGATCGGGACTTCTTCTCTTCCGCATTCCTCTTTGGCCGACTTTGGTGTTATTCCATCGCAATCGATACTTCTACTCTTCCACAAGAACACTAACAAGTCTTGTACTCCTTGGCATCGTGTATGACACTTTGATTTTTGAGTTCACTTTTGGGCGAGCTCAAGAGGTAGCCCCCTTGATGCGTCCTCCTCTTGGGCGAGCTCATGAGGTGGCTACCTTGATGCGTCCTTGGGCGAGCTCATGAGGTAGCCGTCCTCTTCTTGGGCGTCTTCCTCTTGGGCGAGCTCATAAGGTAGCCGTCCTCCTCTTGGGTGAGCTCATGAGGTAGTCGTCCTCCTCTCGGGCGAGCTCATGAGGTGGCTCCCATGATGCGTCCTCTTCTTGGGCGAGTTCATGAGGTAGTCGTCTTCCTCTTGGGCGAGCTCATGAGGTACCCCCCTTGATGCGTCCTCTCTTGGGCAAGATCATGAGGTACCCCCCCCCCCCCCCTGATGCGTCCTCCTCTTGGGTGAGCTCATGAGGTAGTTGTCTCCGTCTTGGGCGAGCTCATGAGGTAGCCGTTTTCGTCTTAGGCGAGCTCATGAGGTGGCCTCCTTGACGCGTTCTCCTCTTGGACGAGCTCATGAGGTAGCCTCCTTGCTAGAGAGAGTCGGGCTCTAGGCCACACTTAGCCGAGGCTACCCCAGCCGAGGTCACCTCTAGCCGGGACAATCCCAGCTAAGGTCGCATTGGGATGGCTAAGCTCGAGACCCCTTGCGCCCTCCTTGGCCGTGTTTGACTTCAATTGATGAATATCCTCATCCCAGACCCGGAGTTTGGGCTCTACTTAGAGGTTAGACCTCTTGCCATGGACTAGCTTTAGTAGTTTTTTTTTTCTTGGGTAGGTGTAGTTGCTTGGTTAAGGGTACCCCTTGGTCCAAGAACTCATCCGTCGTGTGGCGAACGATGTCGGGCCTCGTGTCCACTTAGGGTAGCCCGTCGGCCCCAAGTCACCGGACTTAGTCCGTTAAGCTCTTCCGTCGGGGTTGGTACACGAGGTCGGGCCTCGTGCCCCCTTAGGGTAAGCCCGTCGGCTCCAAGTCACCGGATTTGGGCTGTTAAGCTCTTCCGCCAGGGTTGGTACGCGAGGTTGGGCCTCATGCCCTATTAGGGTAAGCCCGTCGGCCCCAAGTCACCGGACTTGGGCCCTTAAGCTCTTCCGTCGGGGTTGGTACGCGAGGTCGGGCCTCGTGCCCCCTTTGGGTAAGCCCGTCGGCCCTAAGTCACCGAACTTGGCCCGTTAAGCTCTTTCGTCGGGAATGGTACGCGAGGTCGGGCCTCATGCCCCCTTAGGGTAAGCCCGTCGGCCCCAAGTCACCGGACTTGGGCCGTTAAGCTCTTCCGTCAGGGTTGGTACGCGAGGTCGGGCCTCGTACCCCCTTAGGGTAACCTGTCGGCCCCAAGTCGCTGGACTTGGGCCGTTAG